TTAATTCTTTAATCACCTTTTTGTTGATACTTACTTGAACTTCTTTTGAATAATTATTAGAGTTGCTAATAGTAATGAGAATTGACTTGTTATTATTAATTTGTAAAAGTAAATTACTAGGATAATAAAAAGAAAATAATAATATGCATTTAAGTGATGGTTAAAGTTTTTATACATAGCATGCTAGTATTAATTTTTTTGTTAATTGAATGCAAGCCAGCGTTTACTAAATTACCCATTGTTTCTTAAAGATGGAAATATTTAATTTAATGATCAGGCATCGTTTCTAGAATATTACGTATTTTATGCCACAATAGCAATCGCCTGAGGCTTTTATTAATAATCGGGGTTGTGACTGCTATTGTTCCTTTTGGAATAGTGTGACTGGTTGATTTTCGCTAGTTAAAAAGGTTTCTTTATCACGCACATTATTTTTTTTGTCGGATCTTTTTCGCGACCTATCTCCACGTGTAATGCGCCATTTTTTTAAATATATATAAACGAAATAAAAAGAAGAGATTTATATGAAAAAACAATCAATGTGACCAACGTTTTGTTATTATGATAGAGCTTTCGCGTACATCAAATTATTTTGCCATTTCCCTAAAGTAGCATCGCCCATCTGTATGCGCATTTTTTGATGATTTTTGATTTTTGATTTTTTTTTTTTAATGCCTGTTTTTACGTGTATAAACGGATAGAGACCTCGATATAGATCGTTCAACAATTGCAATCTTTAAATATCATCTCAAAGGAACTCCGATCACGAATGAAAGTTGCCGTATGTCGATTAATCAGAAAGAGATTACAGTTGTTGTTCCAGGGTAGGCACAATGAAAAATTATCCCATAAGGTTTATGGTGCATTCGAAGAAATATCCGCATAGACCGGACTACTATCCAGATGAAGAGATTCAACCACTAACCTTTTAGACATTATATTATATGAATACCTGAGTTTTAGTTCGAGCAATTACTGTATATTTGATCTTCTGTTACGAATCAAGAAATATCTTCACATTTCCAAAAACCCTGCCTTCATAACTGCCGGCGAACTATCCAGACGTTACGGTTGTTCGAGAAGTTCCTGGTTGACTTTGGTTTCCGAAAATGGGCCAAAAAGAACGCGAATTGTTAATAGCATTTGTATCACCCCAAATATGATGTGACAAGATTACGTCATAGTAAATAATTTATGGAGATCGAATGTGCGTACTATATTACTGTATAGTAAGTACTGTTCAGTGGTTAGTCTTAATTATTCGAATTGAGTAAGTAATCTTCATTGTTGCATTCATGTTATATGCCAGAGTAAACGTCAAAGATACTTGTCGATTCGTTCGATGGATTTCTCGAGAATTTAGGGTGGCGACCGGATGCCGTTATCCATCGCATTTTTGGAAATCCAGATTTCCATTCTCATCTCATTTCCAATTATTCCTACGAAATTCACGCAAGATGTCCAATACGGCAATCTCGGATCCTCGGGTGAAGACTGATCATTGCCCAGGCTGCGGAGCAAAATTTCAAACACGAGATCATTTAAAACCAGGTTTTCTGGTGGTTCCAAAACTTGAGAAAAAGAGGGAAATAACAAAACCGGGAGAGCTGAGCGTAGATGATGTACAGACGATAATTAAATCTATGCCTGATGATATTCTCAAGCAACTTTATCCAATGGGCGTTGTACCTGAATTAAAACCATCCGACAAAGATAACGATGGTGAATCGAAAGAATCGATGGACAACACATGCGGAGAAAAAGCCGACGGCATAACAGAAGAGGGAGAAAGAATATTTTGCCAAAGGTGCTACAATTTACTCTATCACAATAAAGTCGTGACCGAAGAATGGCAGGAATCATTATCATTCGATAGGTCATTCTTGTCATTCTTGAATAAGAAGAAGGATGCTATAGTGGTCACGGTTGTGGACATTTTCGACTTTCCAGGCACGCTCCTGGAAGATCTGGATGATCTGATTGGCGTAAAGAATCCAACCATCCTAGTTGCCAACAAGATGGACCTTCTTCCCAGGGATGTCAGCGAAACGAGAATCAAGAATTGGTTGAAGGAGAAAAGTGAAAAATTGGGATTTCGTAATATTCACGAAATCTTTCTTATTAGCGCCAAAAAAAATTGGAGAGTCAGAGAGTTGGCACAAACCATATCAGCAATCCGTAGTGGATTTGATGATGTCTATCTGATCGGTTGCGCGAATGTTGGTAAATCTGAGCTGGTCAACAGCTTCCTGAGAAGTACGGTTGTTGGAGGATGGAAACACGAGGTAACCTCGTCACCGATTCCAGGAACCACGGTGGGAATGCTAGGGCTACCGTTGACGATATTTGGAACAACTTTTGGTCACAATCCAAGAGGATTTCATTTTCCACAAAAGAGTCGATACCTGTACGATACACCGGGAGTCGTCAATGGGAAACAATTGATTCACCTGCTGACCGAGGAAGAGTTGAAAATGGTAATTCCTCAAAAGAGGATCAAACCATTGACGTATAATATTTTTCCAGGTATTAATGAATGAATGCTGATTGTTGATTCACATACAGAAAAGAATTAGAAAATCATTGATACACTAAGAGTCATCCTTGTGTGTCATCTGGACAGGAAAATCAGTATTCTTCGGGGGCCTAGGCAGAATCGACTATGTGGAGGGTGATAAACCAGTTCGCATGACGATATTTAGTCGATTGAAATCTCACATTACCTCGACACAAAGAGCCGACGAGATATGTCAATCGATGGCCGTTGGAGATAAAACATTCCTGGAGCCACCGATATTTTCGATAAAAAGAGCATCACCATTTCCACCAATGATCAAGGGTAAGAAGGGATATGTGATGAAGGGTATACCGGGAACGATGAGCAGCAAGGATGTCGTGTTCTCGGGAATCGGGTGGGCCTCATTTGGCGGAACTTTTGATCGAGCCTCAATTGATGTTTGGTCACCTCACGGAGTTGGGATATACATTAGGGAGAAATCATTGTTGCCATTTGAATTTAAGGGAATGTTCGAAAAGCTGCCTTAAAGGCATGTTTATATAATGCTCAGTCGAATGCGTATTTCAAACCCTTATAATAAAAAAATCTGACGTTCTTAATAATAAAAAGTAATGAAGGAAGGAAGGAAGGAAGGAAGGAAAAGAAAAGAATCACTATTAAAAAAAATCCGGGGGGGGATACTATCCAAGGGGAATACTTTATGCAGCGCTATACGGTCAATTGAGCCGATGTGGTGGAAACGCGTTAATATTTATAATGAACGATGCAGTAAAACTTTCGATACATTTATCGGTCGAATAACAGAATTAATTCATCATAATTTTAAACTTGACAATTTGTATTCGTTCTTTTTATGACTTCGATTTGGGTTAACATATAAAATAATTAGTACGTAAATGGATTCACGGATACGAGATACAGACAAACGACAAACATTAAGTAGACGATCGACTGTGTCACGTGAAAATGGATTTTGATAAACGATCCTTGAATTTTTTTATCTGATCGAAAAGTTATGAAATGTCGCTGACCTTCTGTCGAACCATAACACAAAATTTCCTGTCCCCCATACCCACACTTCTTAAAAGTTCACCGCCACACAAATTCATTCCATCTCCTCAAATCCGTCACTATACTGCCCGTAAACCGAAAAAGCCCACAAAACTTTCTGCACCAATATGGGACGAGAGAAAACTTGATGATGGTAGTTTATTTATCTCCCGTGTGCCACTAGTTCCTCGAAAGATTACAATGGATCAATTGCCACCGCCCCTACGACCCGTCAGCGAACTCAAAAAACGTCAACACACTGAAGAGCAAAAGGAGGAAATGAGAAGATTGAGATGGCAAGATCCCAGGAAGTATACTTGTGCTGTATTGAGTAAAATGTTTGATTGCCCATCGCTTATGGTTGCTCGATTTGCACCACTTCCACCGGTGAGAATGGAAATCCTTAAAGCTAGTAAAGAGATTGCCTATAGTAAGATGGGTTGGAAGAAGCGAATAGTCAAGATGGAGAGAGCCAGAAGGAGAGCTTTGTGGTGAAAAAATAATCTCGGAATAAAATTTTACATTTGTTCAATTGGCTACTGATTACATATTGACGCATGCCGTAAATAGTAAAACATTACTAACACATACAGTAAATCAATATCATTTTACCGCATGTAAAATAGCAATTTTTATACTATATCTTTGAAAATTTTATTAAGACTCGGCGATCTACCGCAGCCGAACTCCTCTCCGCGTTTATTCTTCTCGTGTGCTTTTTTCACTTTGCCTATGGTTAGCGCGTACTAGCGCGTGCATAAATTTACAGAACAGATTCCTTGAAGATGTATTTACAGTATACCGGCTCCCTTCTAATACATCCCGTTTACGTTAGATGCCTGTATCTGGCACAAAAAAAAAATAGTCCGCTTTGATAGCCGAGCAAACAAGATAAAAGCAAGCAACCAACTACGTATACGTAATTTATGATAATTATGATAAATATTATTGAGAAAACTAAGTATTTAATGATAAAACTAAACAGTATGCGATAGGAATTACGTAAATACGATAAATTGCGCCTAGCAATTTTCATAATCTAACACGAAAAGACAAACCGCAACTACCATCTCTCAAAGACAACCGAACATCTACTCCAATAGCATGCCCTCCCGCATCAATCATCATTCACATCTTCAGTGCCCCTCCTCCGACGTCCACCCATCAATTTTTTTAAATCTTCCATCACGTCATCAATCTGACATCGGTCATCTGGCTGTACTTTTGACATCATTAGAATCATCTTTGACACACTCTCATCGCCAATCTTCTGTTTCACGCTTGCAAATTCATCATTCAACAACGCTTGCAACTCCTCAGTATCATTATACATCAATTTCTTGACCCACAAGAAATAGAATATACCTGAAAATACAATTGTATAATTCAGTGCCGGTCACGTAGATTGCAGAAACTCAAGTCAATAACGGACAATTTTGGCAATCCTAACCTGAAAGAGCAAATATGTCCATACTAAAATCGGCAATAAGATCAATATTCGGAGGCGGCGTTTCATCTCCGAGATCCTGAGTGATCCCCAACAATTCTGGAGCAGTGAACCCAATCGTAAATACTTGTCTATCTTGATTTTGATATTCGCCCCAATTATGATATCGACGATATTGAGAATATTGGACTGGTCGAATAGGATTGCCGAATTCCCGAGAATATTCAAAATCGCAAATGCGAAATTCTGCCCCTTTCGACTTGCATATAATATTTGATGGACACAGATCCAGGTGCTAGGAAGAAGGTATAACAAAGGTCAGAAATGTTCGAATGCATCGTATCAATACAAAAATGCTACAGATCTTGTCATCTCCATGTCGCCTATACACCAAAGATATATACGGTAATATACTTACGACCACATTTTTATCGTGTATAAATTTGAGGCCTTCACTGATACTTTTGTATGCATTCAAAATATCTTCGTTCCGGCGAAATGATCCAATCACCGATCGCAAGCTGGATCCATGGTTTCCCGTAACAATTATGTTATAATTACGATCCATGTCCTTGTTCAAATATTTACACATATACAAATTAGTTAAAAATAAATTCCAAGAGTAATAATAACAAAAGTAATCTTATTTACGTGCATCAACATTAAAATCACATTTACTTACCATCCACTCTACCACCCATTCTGATTGAAGCTCCTTCAACCATTTGATTTCGTTGTAGAAGGAGGCCTCATACAAGACTTCCTTAATAAAGACTTTCTTTAACGTTATAATATGATGCCCTTCGTGCACTCTATTCCGACTGGTAGGGGACATGGGGTTAGAAGACACGATCACATATTTCTGACAGACGATTTGCGGTGTATCATTAGTCTTTGACCCTCTTGACATAATCGAGGACCTAGCTGAGGACCTAGATGTACTGCGATCAGGAGAATCATTTCGTGACGGATAAATAGGTGGAGAATGGTTTGGTGGTGGAGAATGGTTTCGTGGTGGAGAATGGTTTGGTGGTGGAGAATGGTTTCGTGGTGGAGAATGGTTTGGTGGTGGAGAATGGTTTCGTGGTGGAGACCCACCCGGACCAATGCTTTCATCCGATTCGTCAGATTCATCAATCTGTTCATTCGGAAGAGGGCGCCCCGAACCTAAAATTTAAACACATATTTCATATGACAAAGTGACGGCTTACCCTCTGTACATAAACACCGAACGATAGGAAACGCATACTTTCACCAGCCCCAGCACCCGTGTATACGGGAACATCCTGCGTTTCATTAAATAGCATAAAATTATTTGCTATTTATTGTATTGTGTAAACATGCGACGTGTTCATGATTTTTTCTAATTATCCACGAAACATATATACTTACATTGGATTCTGTGCGTTCTTCAACATCGGATTCTGTACGTTCTTCAGTAGAAAACAGTTCGTCGGGTTCCACAATACGATGACAAGATATTTTGAAATTGAGTTTTGTAGTCATCATATCACTCACATATACTATTTGCTCGCCAACTACATTAGATGAAAAATTTTTTAATAATTTTAATAATAGAAATCAATCACTGACAGCAATGAGATCAGAGTATACCTTCAGCTCTACCACCATTTATCATCGTTTGCCATATATGTTCCGATTGTTTCAGGTATATATTACATATACCTTTTATGATGTCATAGTTTACAGTAACTTTCAAGTAAGGATTGGGATATCCCAACAACGGCAATATTACTTTCAATTCCTTGTCTCTGGTACCGGTGGACCAATACCCTTTAGTAGAGTGGGAACATTCATATACCGAGAATTTCAGAGAACTATTCTTCCCATTAAGATTATTACTAATGATAAAAGTTCGTTGACGGAGATAAATTTCCAAGATCCAATCAACTTTCGAAATGGGTACGACATTATAGATTATTAATAATAACATACACTTTGAAGTTTTCCAACACAATCATTCCGATCTTTTCGTTACGCATCCCGTCTTCATGAATTTTCATCATGCCATCGCTTGGAGCATCCTACATATATATATGTATGTATGTATATACGTGATAACAATAAATGTGAATTCATTGAAACTGAAGTAAAATGGATAAATTAATATATTATTAATACCATTGACAACAACATAATATTGAAAGATATATCTCCGCCATTTTTTCCGTAACAATAAACCGGCACCGTATTCACTGTATTACAATTATCAATAAAATAACAAATTAAATTAACATAGTTTAATCTTAATATATAAGATTAAATATGAGTTCATACCTTTTCTATTGTTAGTACTAATAATACAGAATTCACAATCGCCCAGAATCCCATCTGGCCCAAATCTCATGGCATCATACACTAAAACATTAACATTGGTTTTGTCGCGAACAACAGGAAAGAAAACTTGTTCATTCCCGAAACTCGATTCTTGTTTTCTATCTCGTCTCATACTAAAAGTGTATACAGATATTAATTGTCTGGTTATACTTGTTTTTTTTTTTTCCTATTAGTGAACATTTAAAATAATTCTCTAAAACGTACACCTCAGCCGCCCCTATCGTCTTGTCAACACCATTATATTGAAATTGCAATTTGATTTTTCTTCTCCTTAAAAATCCTTTACTGATTCTTACGTCGGAATTCAATGTACTGTTTGTTCGTTAGATGTCAACGATTGATTACGTTGCAATAATCACATGCATAAAAAAAAGATAAAAATCCAAAGTTAATCGTAACTCAGTAATAAATAGATAAAATCAATGCGTCTTTTGTTTTTATTTTTATGCAAAAAAAAAAATAATAATTTTACCATTTTATCTTTTGGATAAGAAGATACCCAATAACATTTTGATTTTCCATGATTGATGGTTGGGAAAATTTGCAAAGAATGTAATTAACCGAAAAAACTGTTGGCGAATAATATCTCAGATCAATCATATTTATGATTACTGCGAATTCCGGACTTTAACTCCGAATTTCCAAAACAAAAAAAGACTTGGTCACACGCTAAATATAATATTTATGCTAATTTGGTAACTTTTCAAAATGAAATATTTTAATTAAATTTTATTGTTCATTCCTTAAATTCCTTGTGGCTTATTAAATATCATAAAATGTATATGAGGATATTTTTATTTTTTTTTTTTTTTTTTTTTTTTTTTTTTTTTAAGGGTAACTTTCGCCCAGTAGACTTTATTAAACGGGTTTTTAAGATGTACGAACTGTCCTAGAATAGTACATGTTT